CCTTCCCATGTTTCATTCATGAGAAGAAAATGTGCTAGGGGTGTATCTCGACTTGTATGTGTCATTTGAATTAAGCTACAATACGCATTAGCTATTTACCAGCTCCACAGGACAAGCAAGCTACGAGCAGGTGGGGGGGGGGGGGGCGAGTACGGTCTACGACGATGTTACACACAAACAAACACACGTACGCAGAAGGAGGGATCGAAAGCCATCACTATAATACATCCCCCCCCCCCTCCCATTATAAGACGTCGACCAGGCATGATCTGTGCGCACATTTTGTGACTCCGACAATTAGTGATAAATACGGGACGACATCTGGCCCAATCATTACTTAGATAGATACACCGACTCGTCATTTGCCGACAGACGTCCGGAATATCCAGGTGTTGGTGTTAAAACGAACCACTACTGTGCCGCGTTCCACCAATCAGGACGGTCAAGCGACAAAATGAATGAATAAAATACATAAAGTGAGAGAGAAAAGGAAAAAAAAATGCGATCAGATCTTCGAGAATTTTTTTTTGTAAATTTTAGATCGCAGTTTTCGCGATGTTCACCTCTGATTGTAACACTGATGAGTCAGCAGAGCTAGCTAAACAAATCGGCTAAAGGTGACGCTTTTAAGTAAACAAGTACGAGTCCAAAATGAAAAAAAAAAAACGTTGTTCACGCCAACTGAGTCTTTGGAAAAAAAAAAGTGCGAGCTATTCCAGCGACTATTGCGACTACTAGTTCATGTAATGTTTGATTTAACCCATCAATATTATTAAACATTTTAAAGGAAACTGACCCGTGAACTTGTCCACGAAAAAAATTCCGCATACCGGCCCCGCATTGAAATGGCTTCACTACGCAGGCCATATTGTCTCTAGCTCTTCCCCGTTTTATTTTCGTTTTTGCACGTGCTCGTTTGTGTTTAGCTGCAGGGTATATCGGTCTCGTGGGAGGCATACGATCGCATTCTTAAACCTTTTTTTTTTTTTTTGCCGACTGCAACGACAAGAAAAAGAAGCGAGCACGAGAGCCACGAGCTTTACTCAGTTCGCAATAATAATAATAAATAAAGCACGATGGAAGTAACGCGTGGTGGGGGCAGCCATGCAAGTGACGTGCACGCGCATTTGTTCCAGTCTGCACTACGGGGACTAATGCGTGCCAGCGGTAGCGTCAGAGGTAGCGGAGCCGCGCTCGAAGTAGAGACACCACCCGTGTACCGCAACGAAGCTACCACGACTGTATTCGGTGAGCGAGGGCTAAGCAACCGCAACCCATCGTAGTGTAGCAGACGACGCTGCGACCAAAAACTTTTCGTCTGCGAGAGAAACCTGCCGGGAGCGGCTGCGGTAGGAACGGCCGAATCCGCCGACGGAAGCGGAAGCGGCTCGTCGTACTCTCTGTTTATGCTGCACGAAGCACGTGGTTCGATAACCTCCCCCCCTCTCCGCTTACGGTGCCTGCCGCTGCTCGTCTCATTTTCTGCCCGGCGTCGGAACCGAGGGACCGACGAATTCCGAGCAGCCAGTACTCCACGAGCGCTGATTTTAAGCGCTGTCCGGCCACCGACGCGGCACCAAAGTTTTCGGCGACGCTGTCCCGTTCCAGGAGACCGCATTTCGTCCTCGGTCCTGCCACGTGTAGCGTCAAACAGCGGTTTTAATGGTGAAGTATATTCCGTCCGTTTTCCGACTACCGCGATGCGCACGGGCTGCCGAAGCTTCGGTTCGCCACGCAGCCGTGAATTAACGGCCCTTCGAACGACGAGGCAGCTCACCCCACCCTCATAAACCACCATAACAAAAAAAAAAAAAAGCGAGACGCTCGATGGATTTAATAACCTAGTATCGGGAGCAGGCGTGTCGCTTTCGCGGTGAGAGCCTTCGGTTCGCTCTCGGGAGTCGACTTTCTTTTTTCCGTGCCTTCCAGTTTCGGAACCTAGCGCTACCGAGTGAATCGTTACGTCGTGCAGGCGTGTGCATGCCCATTTTTCGTGGCCCCTACTTCCCTGCTAACATTTCCTTCAGGGTTAGTGTCCTTGACCGGCGCACGCGAAAGCAGCGTGGCGTTGTCGTGGTGGTGCCCCACTGCAGTCGACATTCGTCCCCTGACCAGCTGTTCTAGTTCGCACAAGCAGTCGCTTCATATTGGGTGCATAGTGGGTCGCTCCTAAGTTCCACTTGCGAACGAAAACTGCTGGTCCTTTAAGGCGAGGCCCACGCTGCACATGTGGCCACAGGGGAGGCACATGCGACACATCGTTCGCTGCGGCGAAGGTGGACCGCTGGAAGTGCGTAGTTTTTCGTTTCTATTTCTCGACGTCCGCTACTGCTGTTCTACGCGTCAAGAGCACCTCTGTTTGTTTCGTCAGCTTTGGTTCCTCGATAGCCCTGGCCGTCGCACGAACAAATTTTCCAGCGAGATATGTAAAAACAAACAAAAGTGGTAGCCGGCCTTTTGAAAGGCGAGGCGCATACGTCAACGTTTTCGACTAGTCAACTGCAGCGGTGTTCGATTCACGAAACGTGCAGCGCTTGGCTGTAAGTTGTTACCGAACTCAATGCTTGCACATGTGGCACACATCGAAGGTGGTGATTCAAGCGGCGTTTCGTTAGGCCGTTTGTTTTGCTCTCGTCAATTTGTGCCGCGAGCGCATATCCTCGATCTCGGTACGGCTCGTCCGATACGGCTGAGCCATTCTTCCTACGCGTATGCTCGTTTCATTCGGCTATTCTTCTTCAGTGCACGCGTGACCTGCCAGGCGTTTCGTTCTGCAAAGTTGCGTGCATTCCGTAGCCTCTCGGCCGAAGGTGGCCACGTGCAGCAGGTAGATCGTCACGTATCCATCGCTTTCGTTCGAAGCTTCACTCGTGGCAAATGCAATACACCGTTTTGTTTCTTTTCCGTTGCTATGTGTGGGCTTTCTGAAATATCTGCGGCACTACGTAGTTTATGTATGCGCCTACGTAATATCTTTCTGCGTTGCTTCGCACTTTACATTGTCTACATGATTTTATGGGATGGGGGCAGTGTACTGCACTTGTTCTGTTGCTACATGAGCAAGCATGCATTCGTGTAGACTTCAGTGTATTCTTGCTGCACGGTGTCAATAAGGAATTACCAAAGTGATACTGTCAATATTGTGTTTGGGTCATCTTCGTTTTTTTTTTTTTTTTTTTGCAAGATAGCAGGTCACGCAATTTCTCTGTTGTTTTCTCCCAGCTTCATCAGCCACCCACCGACCTTCTGGATGAGGATATTGCACTCATGGAATCCTTAAGTGATCACAACTATAACAGAGTGCTGCCGAATTTTAGCGGTATGCTTGACAACGCCGGTGATGTCTCACTGGCGGATCGTCGACCCCTCAGCCGACAATTCGGTGAGCATCTATTAACGTTGAGCAAAGACGTGTGCCTTACACCAATCGGTGGGCACTCCAGACTTGCTGTCACGAGCCGGACGGCTGGTTACATTGCCTTCAGAGATTATTGCAGGATGCACGAGCAGGACCACTTCTGTAGGCGGAGGCGACTTTAGTTGTATCAGGCTATAGTGCAATAGCTCTGGCAAAACTGCACGAGTTGCAGCCTTGAAGACATATATACTAGTCGAAACTTAGTTCCAGCATCACCCCATGTTTGCGAATTTGTCGTCTCTTCAAGCTTCAGCCTATCTCCTAACTTATGCATGTCATGCTAGGAGTGTTATGCTTCAGATGTAAATTTTGGGAGGGGTGGGCACCTGGTGTGCCGCCCTTCGCCCATGACCTTCGTTCTGCTTGGTTGCTATGTCATTCTCAATCTCAATACTAGGAGGGCTTGCTTAGAAAGAGGAACTGTTAGATATATCTTAAGGCACAGCTATTAAGAATATCGATCGGTCTTTCACTGATGTGGGTGCTAACCATCTACTTCATCTTCATATCTTGATCTACATAACTATGGATGTTGCTGCCGTGCGTTGATTTTTGCCACCATTAAATAAACTTCTCTTGCTTAAAACATCCTTACAGTCATTTTTTAAGCCACACTCTCTTCTTAGAGTGCATGTATTTGAGCGATGTTTATCGGAATAAATGCATACTACAAATGTGCCTATTTGATCAGCGGCAAGTCCGCCCCTGTAACAAGTCGCAAATGTAGCTTTTATATTGTTCCAGATAACGCAACTGAGGACTGCCTTAATTTTAATGGTAAGTTGGGTGGCACTGTGTTTTTCTATCTTTCTACTGCTTGTAAGCGTATGTAACTAGGAAGGTTTAGCTTTCTTTATATACATGCCTTTACAGCTGTGCTAGAAGGAAGAATGTTCAAGTAACATTGGTTCAGTGTTGCATGCACCTTCAATAGCATTTTTGATAACCAACTAGCCCAACTTTCAATACTATTGCATCTTTAAATCAAGCTAGAAAGTGCAAGCTGAGTTATTGGTTTGGGTTAGGTTTTGGAGTGCATTTTCAGTCGAGCTTGAGCCTCTAAATTTTCACTTTGATTAATACAGCCATGACACTACAGTATTACAAACACTATTTGTGTGAAATATATGCGTACTGAAAAAATGAATAGCTAACGATGCTTACAGGAAAAGTACGAGTGTTCCTGCTGTTTTGGCTGCATGTGCCCCCATCGCATGACTGACACACTAAATCAAGAATTGCCTGCTATCGGGAGTCTCATCCTACCCGCTGTTCGATGTTAAGCGTTAGGTGCCGACAGCTTTTGGCTCGTGTGAGGACGGGCCTCCGTATGAAACGAGGGTACCTGAGAAAAACGCAACTCAACTCGGCATTCTACTTGCCTTCTTTGCTGTGCACAACTGCTTGATTTAGCTGGATGTATTTTCTCGCCAAGCCTGAGGGATGGTACATGATCTTTTCGCGTGAAATCGGGCACAGCTCACAGGGCTGGGTAACTATACTTTTAGACATTGCACAAAGAAATTTATAGACTAAGCCAACTATGACGATATTTTCACCATTTCAGGGTAATCAAACTTCTGTGTTCTGGGACACTCTTGTCCCGTGCCTGATAGCTGAAGTGCTCAGCCACTTCGAAAGCAATTTTTCATGAGCAAAAAGGAGTAATATCGAAACCCAATTAAGTTTACCATCTAGATATGACTTACTACTTGGAAAAAATGGTAAATGCTGCAAGGCATGTCGGTCGCACCAGCGCAAAGTACGAAAACTGTGAAAGCCGGAAACGGCAAATGCTCCGCAAGCTTTACGCATACGTGACCGCACCACACTGTCTGTGGCACCGTGTCCGTGCGGTAAGCTGACAGCACTAAAGGCCCAGAAATGCACTGATAGAACAGTTGTATGCATAAGCGAGTGCTTATGCGAGAAAGTAGGTGAAAATACAGAGGGCTCCCCAGTGAACTCTTAGTCTTGCCTTTGTTAATTAACAAATACTTGATGAATTTGATAAGTTGTAGAATTTAGTAGAAAAAATACACTGGGTTTATCCCAAACGTAATGTCAATAATTCTATTAAAGATAGACATATTGATCAGTTCAGTAAAACGCAATTAAAGGGTTCAAAAGACTGCTCCTGCGGCCATACATATTCTAGTAAGATTTCCAGGCATCCAAGGCGTTCGCATGTCTGCTCCAGAATGTTCTTTAGAGCCTTGGCGCAAGCCTCTTTTACATTAACTGTTGTCCAGAAATGTCTTTTTATGGCAGTTTTCAAGTGCGGAAGCGAAAGGTATATTGCGGTCAGCTCTCTACTCTACACCAACACGAGTGAGACTCCAGTACCACAAGTTCTCTGCAAGGAGAGTCCTAAAATGCTGACTGGCCATCGCAGAATGCAGCAAATGAATACCACCTTAATATTTACCCATTGCCATCCTGATGGACATAGTTTTAACAGAATAAGCTCAAGGATGAGACATAGGTTAGTTTTGAAACTGAAGAAACGTAACCACAATGCGAATCGTAAAAACATCGATTCCTGAAAAGTAAAAAAAAAAGTTAAGGGCAACCTTCTCCAGCCCACTGCTGTCTTCTGGGAAAGAAATTATGCTCTCCTAGAGGCACTCATAGAACTTGGCATGACCATCACTGCAGCCAACTTGAATGTCTACGAAGGGCAATTCAGAACAAGTGAAGAGTAATGCCGCCTGGCATTTTTCTTCACGACAATGCAAGGCCACATAGGGCAACTGCAACAAAACGCCTGCGGTGTTTTTGGTTGGAAGTGTTCAATCCTCCACCATCCAGTCCGGACTTGGTCCCTCTTATTGCCATCTCATTGCACCCATGAAATGCTGGCTCTGAGAACAGGTCGTTGACTTGGACAACGAGATGCATATCCTTGTACAGAATTGAAGAGTGCAGTAGACTGCATTTTCCAAGGAGAATATAGAAAAGCTTAATGTGCACTGATGGGCTAGTTGGTGAGCCATGTTTTTTAGAAATGCTTATGCTTGTGTCTTTTACGTGTGTGTGTTTTTGTATCCTTCTGTGCGCTGCTTCTTCAAAAGTATACTTTGTGCCACGCTATGATGAATTTTAAGTTGAAACAGCGACTATGTAGAGAAGTAGCTGCTATGTCTACCTAAATGTTCTAAATAATGTCTAGATTTTCACTTTTTTTTATTTTGTGACTGATCGAACATTTGATAAAAAATTCAATTAGCCCTCATCCATTCAAAACTGTAGCACAGTAATACCGATAGCGGAAAATCAAAACTAGTATAAGCACTTTCACTAAAGGCTGGTGCACACTGGCGACTAGCAGCGGTCACGTGACCATTTGGGACTGGCAACTAAAAAGCGACTGATGATCACACCGGCAGAGGCTGCATGCGAGCGACCGGAAGTCGCAATAGCCTGCCCCGTCGCGGTGGTCTATCTTTTTTCTATGGGCGCTTCTTTCTATCTCTGTCTTTTCAACTCTTGATCCCCTTCCCCCAACACCTGCACAATAGTTACCACCACAGGCCCCGCCGTGGTGGTCTAGTGGCTAAGGTACTCGGCTGCTGACCCGCAGGTCGCGGGTTCGAATCCCGGCTGCGGCGGCTGCATTTCCGATGGAGGCGGAAATGTTGTAGGCCCGTGTGCTCAGACTTAGGGGCACGTTAAAGAACCCCAGGTGGTCGAAATTTCTGGAGTCCTCCACTACGGCGTCTTTCATAATCATATGATGGTTTTGGGACGTTAAACACCATATATCATCGGAAGTCGCAATAGCGAAGAGTCGTGTCCGCAGCTTGTTATCAGTGAGAACTCTGGAGACCGGCGCCGACAAAAATTGAGCATCGCTGATTGGTTCCAGCAGCTTTGCGACTGCAGTCTCGCGACTGAAAAATCAGTCGGGAAGCGACCAGCCAAAGCAGTCGCTTTGTGACTGTTTGCGACCGCAAATGGTCGAACGACCACTGTTAGTCACCGGTGTGCACCAGTCTTAAGAGATCGGTCACTAGGTACTGTCACCCTTCTAAGTGGTGGCTACAGCTTTTTTTTTTTTTTTTTGTCACCTGGACAACACAGGAAGTGTCTTAGCTTCGTGACAGCTTGTTTTAGTCACAGCCATAGTGAGCATGTTCGGTATAGCAGTGTTAAGCATAGACTTGTCACCATGTAGACGATAGATCTGCTATTTGCTGTGAAGCTTGAGACCAGGGGCACGACTCGGTGGGTCCACTGAGTGGACTACCCCTTTCAGCCTCCACTGATTGCTTAGAGCTCGGCGAGCAGCACGTCTCTGTTTGTGGTCATTTTTATGGAATGTCGTTTTGATGTCGCAAAACTTTCGCAACTCTCAACACAATGGAGAAAGACTGAATGTGTTCTCCACAGAAACTGCTGACCTCAGAGATCCGCTTTCGGGCGCACGTCTCTGAGGCCGCACATGAACTCTAAATCATCTTAGCCTTAGAATTAGATATAACACGGCTGCGCGCCTGACGCACCTGGAAGGTTGCTATGCATTCCCTGCATCGTTCTGAAACATATGAACACGCCCAGACGCAAGCTTAGGCTTTTCAAGTTTAAGCGTTCTGATACAGCACTTATTGTCCACTTTCTTTCTCTCAATGTGGCGAATGTGCTGGGGGGAGGGGGGGTTCGGTGCGTCGGTGTAGTCAAGAGAGCGCCACGACATCATGACTCACTGTTTTTTAGCGTAAGTCAATGCACTCTGCCAAAGCATTAGGTGGAACCATAGAAAATCTCGCCCCTGATTCACTATCGTTGTAGCAATTAAATAGGTGCTACACTTGGTAGCTGTCCCACTTCCTGGCTTGCTGTTATATTGTCTAAACTTCAACAGAAGCTTCTCACTTTCTTAGTCATTCTCCTGCCCCACTGAGCCTCAATCATTGTTTACAAGCAAGTACATATACCCACCAAGACTGACCCCGTAGATGATGTGTTTTGTGCAGGGCTCAGCAACTGTAGCCTCAGGAACAGTGTGCTGCCAGGCAGCACGGGAGCTTTGTCTAGCCTACTCTCTATCTCTAACCCAGCCTACTTGGCGGCCTACCAGAATGGCAACGGTCTGGGCTCTTTATACTCCAGTGACATGCGTCTCTCTGAAGCTTCTCTAAGTAGGCTACTAAGGCAGGGCAGTCTTCAAACCTCGCCTGTTGGCACAGGACCTCGGGCCATCCGCTCTGCATCGCCTTACACACCTTACAGGTATGTACATCAGTCTTGCGCAATAATAGGTGCTCAGAGTAAAACGTGACTGTTTTGGTTGTTAGTGCAGTTTTAGACGAAAGTACATACCGACAAAGCTCTGAAGTCACACTAACTTTTCAGTCAGGGGCAGAAAGAGAAAGTTCAGCCAGGCTTGGGTGGCATATTCTTTCTCACTCGATAGCCAGGCTTCGTTTTTAACACTGAAAGTGTTTTATGCTGGCATCAACCACGGCTATGCTGATGTATTTGTCAGATATGACTTAAAATACATACTAACATATTGCCACGAAAATTTTCGTTATCAGTTGCGAGATGGCGTGACAGGCTCACAGTGGCCGTGCTCTAAAGGTCGTCAGCTTCTTGGAGCGTGGTCTCTTCTGCACCTGCGCTTATCAGACTCGTAATTTAGTAGAGAAGGTCACTTTGCTCGCTGCCACGTTTACGAAAGGGGCGTGCTGGTGACCCATGACGCAGGAAGAATTGACAGTTGTTCGCGAATATTCTGTATAATTGTGCGCTGGTTTCATGCGTCTTTCTGTTTGAACGATGCTTTAAAGAACCACTCACCAGGCTTTGACAATTTTGAGCTGTCAAGCGCGATGCGTAGACGAGGCATTCATGATCACGTCTGCCGAAATTTGCAAGCGCTACACGCCGCAGAAATGGGTCAAATTTCAAGATGAACGCTGCTCCCCTTCTCCTCTGCCGGGCCCGCCTAGAGAGTGAGGGCATGACGTGCGCATATGAATGGCTCTACGTACACGGCAATGCAGTGACGTTGGTCCTCTATGTAGACGACTCTGCTCTGACGTTGCAGACAGTGGCACGTGATATGGTGAAAATTATTTAACACGGCATGCATAGTTTATGTAATTTGTTGCTTGAAAAGATCAATAAAACTCTAGATAATAATGAGGCGCAATAATGGAATCCAAGTCGTTTTTTCCATTTTTCTTTGGCGAATTTCAACGAGATGCGGGGCTAATGTGTCGGCGTTTCGCATGCGTTCGTGTCCCCGCGGTCAGCTCATGGAGCAGACGACCGCCGTGGAACGCTCCTACGCGCTTCGCGCACTCATTGTGCTCATCTATTCTACCGCATCTAAGCCAGCGTTTCCGAACGATCCCGCAGAAGCAGGCAGAAGACCACGAAATAACACTGGTCAACAAAGCAACACCGCTGGCACTCAAGGGGTTGGACTTGTTTAGGCACGCCATGCGCACGTCACCTCTTGGTCGGATGCCGGAGAGGGTGGGAAAGAGGTTTGGCTTGCGAAGGCTACGCGGAGAAGCGGCAAGGATTTCGAGCTCGCCTCCTCTCACCCTCGTTTCGCGCCGCTTCCAAAAAACCGTTTTCTCCACTCGTGATGAACAGAATCAAGAAATTTTTGTGGCAAAATGTTCCTCATCAGACACCCAACAACTTCCACTGTCTAACTAAAATTTGGTATGGGGCCTGCTGAAGTGGCCCTTTCAGTGCCCAGCTGCGACAGTCGTTAGTCCGCGCTCGTCCTGTGTATGCTAATTTCATGCGCGCTTTCTGCTTGAGGTGTGCGGTGAAAGTTTCGAGCTGCATGTTATTCTTAACGTGACTTTGCGATTTGTTGCTGTTGCAGAAACAATGCACAATAAACGCTCAACTACCTCTGTGAAAACATATTTCATTTTCGTGTTATGCCAATCCCTATATTGGGTGATCAGCCACGTTTTTTTGGTGGACATCTCAACCATGCCGTAAACATCTGTAGTTTTTAACCTCCTGTAATTGGCAGCAGCATTCTCCTCCCCCCCTTTAAAAAGTTGGGTGGGCGGTGGGAAACATCCTAAAATTCAAAGCTGTCAATCACCATGGCATCAGAAACTACTCAAACCTCATCATAACAAAATCACACCATCTCCGAAAATACTTTGTTATATCTGAAAATTTGTAATAATAAACATATGTTTGCACACTGTACCTGACAGAACTATTTTCACTCACCTTGTTACAACCAATTAGTTATATCTGGGTTCGTAATATTGAGGTTTGAGTGTACCCCTAGCGGGACATACTTCTCCACCAATCTCTACTTATGTGGAGGACTGCTAGGCACTAAAAACAATCTATTAATCATTGTAATGAGCCAGGGTAGTCCCTGAGTGAAACAAAATTCAAGGGTTTTCAAGGACTTTCAAGGATCTAACAAATACATATTAGGGACCTAAAATAACACTTGACACTGCAGAAACTGACAGCACCACTTTTTACAGCATAAAAATTTGTACTTCATTTCATTTGTGATTTGCACCATGAACGCACTCAAGTTACCATGGACTCTAGTCGCTTTGTGTTCTCGGATGTGTTTCGCACTCATGCGACATTTAAGGCAGACTTCCCATTTAATACATGTCGAAGCTCTTCCTGCAAGGGAAGGCTTTGCCTGGTGAGAGTTTGACGTACCCTGGTGCAATCCACTCCGTATAAGCAGCAATGCATGACCAAGGCGCCTGGAATTAGCACTTGATTGACATAGTTCCACCATAAGCGACGCCACTGCGGATATCCGTGCACACTTGCACAGTCTTCACAAAAAAGCTAGGATTAGCTCCGTTGCTGCTGTAACCTACGCAAGTGCTACAACTACAGTGTACTAGAAGAGTACTCTTCACCGTACTATAACACTGAAATATGGCTAGAGAAATGGATTGGATTGTATGGTTTGTTGGCTTGAGAGCACACAGTTATCAGGCACATAAAAAAATCCTACTAATTTGTGGCTGAAGAAACTTCTATTGATGAAATTCAAGGACTTCTAAAGACCTCAGACAAATTTAAGGGTTTTTAAGGCCTCGAAAATGTCATTTCAAAATTTAAGGGTTTTCAAGGACCTGCTACGAACCCTGGAGCAGGAACACTAGGACAGATAATGATGCAAGACTATTGTTCCTTCTTGTGCCTTTCTACATCTTGTCTGAGTCACCCACTACAGAGATTGTGTGCTACCAAGTTCATGTTTCAAGTGCGTTAGGAGTGTGCTCAAGCCCAGAGATCATGTTACACTAACACCACCTTGTGCACGTACAGCTATCAAGGGAGCCCTTCTGCAGAGCGGTCTCTAGCCTATGGATGTGACCCATTTCGAGATTCCAGGAGCCTTTCCCCAGATTCAGACTCCAGCGGTAACAGCTGTGGCACAGATATGAGCACCTTGTCAGATCTCATGGTACGTGCCTAAATCTGTTGCAACTCAATCCGCCTGTTCCACGGTGCATGCGGGCTTCCCTAGCGGGGAAGTATCGAAATGACTCCTAATTCGGAGTCCTTCCTACAAGCAATGCCAGCTCTCCTAGCCCCCTACCAAACCCTACCAAAGCGCCAGAGGGCAGCACAGAAAAATTCAAAAAGCTGATTGGTTCCAGTGGTCCTATTGTGACACATTACCACAAAATTATGTGGAACACTGCATTACCCAGATGTAAGCAGCAGCAGTATGGCAACAACTTCTGATCTTAAAGGCACACTAAAGGCCAATATTGGGCTTTAGTCAACTGTTAAAAATACCACCTCTGAACCTGAATGTGGCCAGCAGGGTGTACAAATATATTTTTTTTGTTTAAATGTTTAACTTAAGTGGCGAGAGTTGATGTATCCTACAATGAGTGATTCCATCCGCCTAAAGATATGTACGTTGCATATGCAATCACTATCTTATACGGCTCAACAACCAGGACTAGACACACGTGTAAGCATTGCATAGATTTGGCATTTTCTTTTGTATATTGTTAATGAAGGAAAGTGTGAACTTGGAGGCTCGTTGTCTTTGTTGGACACAATATTAATGATAATTAACAAATAATGCGAGGGAGAGTATAGAGAATGTTACTAGAAGAAACTGTAGCGCAAATGTGCAGAAAACCTGTTACCGGCAGGATCCGAACCTGCGACCTTCTAGTAACGCGTCAGCTGCTTTATCAATGAGCTACGGTGGCGGTCATCCCCCCCTCCTCCACTTTATAAGGTATATATGTGCATTTAAATGGGGGAGTGTCCATCAGCACCACCTGTTGTGTATTCTAGTATCCCACAGGAGTCTCAAGGCTTAAATTATCTCAATTTCTCAAATGAAGCACTCTTGTCTATTAACTACTTCATAGTTGCCAAGCATTACTTTATTACGAGAACTGGAATTGGTATTTTCCTTCAGTGTCCTCTCCAACTTCATCTGGTGCACACAAGGTTATGACTGCAACAGCTATTGTACTTGGCCACAGCGGCCGTGTAAAGGCACTCGTTCATGTGAATTGGCTTAGCAAGAGCATTGCGGATTGCTTAAATGATTCCAGCTGTTGAGCACAATATCACAGAACATAGCGAGAAGTACTGCCTTCATCGTATTTGTTCTAATATTCAAATTTAATAATACGTAATTGAATAATTTGACTTACTTTCAAATAGCTGGTTTTCGAGTGCTCCAACTGCACAAATTTATAAAACATGACAAAAGCCACTGTGCCACTCTGGTGCAACTTGGTTGAGATGGTGTGGTTAAAATTAATGCAAATGTCATTACAGTAGGCCTTGCGTGGAAAATTTCGCCATTATCCTGGTTCAAAAGAGTGCATGTTTAAAATGTCATTTCCCGATGTAAAAAGAAATGCATGAGAAAACTGTGTGGAACACATAGCCAGAAGTATGGAACTTTCATAATATCGCTATTGTTTTACGAAATAGAACAGATCCTTAAAGGGGCACTAAAGGCAAATGATTTGTCAATGAAAGCTCAGTCAATGAAAACATCTAAAATGGCAATATTATGAACAGCAGTGCCTCACTTACTGAGAAATTAAGCTAAAATGTACCACATGACTGGCCCCACGAGTGGGATATTTTGGAAATGATCTCAATGATGTGGGAGCCTCTGACAATTATTCACTAGTAATCTAAGTAGCTGCAATAAAAAATAACCTTTCATGCATCAAGAGACGTAATAAAATACTGCTTGTCAATTTTTGTTTGACTGAAAAATTTCGCTTTCGCCTGATTAGGCAAGATGGGTGGTACTATCTAGCGGGGCTCAGTTGAACCAAGCAAGCCAAAAATTGTTCAGTGGCCGTTGTTGCCGCTGTGGCTTCGGCTACTTTTGCTTTGTTGCTAATAGCGTGTACGGCAACAATTACGTGAGATAGACCGCTTTCAAAAAGGACATTTGAATTGCGCTAATGCGATGAGGACCACTAAAACGTGACTATTTCCAAATAAGCACTTCCTTGGTGCAAAAGTAGCTCTAAGAGGTTTCTGGACCGCTCTTTCAGCAATGAACATTAACATTGACTTAATATTTGCTTTTAGTGTCCCTTTAAGAGGCATAGTAATGCTGACAAAGCAGCTTCGTTTACTAAAGAACTTGTTGTAGAGGTTTCTTTTGTGTATAAATAAAGCCTGGAATTGCAGTTCGCTTTTTATGTAGAACAAAAGGAACTGATGCTTGTGACTCTTTGATCTGAGGTTTAAACTTATTTTTCGCACAAGTTCATTCAATCAGTGAATCGAGGCTCAGCTGCTGGCTGCAGAAATTACTGGTTGACTCGCTCGCATGGGTCGCGGCAGTTTCTAAATTGCGACCTATGCATGAAGGCTTCCAAAGAGAAATCATGGTTCCACAGTCTGAGAGAGTGTCAAACTCCTAGTGTCAAAAAATAACTGGCACATTGAGCTCATACTTTAGTCAAGAAGTTCAAAAATACTTGAATAAGCTTCGAATTCTAAAGAAGGGTGATGCTCTGACAAGCTGGAAAGAGCATAACCTGCACATTATCCAAGCATATCCACAATCGCTTTGAGTACCATAAGCTCGCATTGAGAGAGCGGGAAGGCTAGGTCTTTTGGAAGAGCTTGCATCTGCATCACGATTTGTCGTCTTTCAGTAGCAGTCGCACACCATGTTAAGTTTTCAAGGACATGAGCAGACTGTATTTGTTTTGTTTTTTAATTCTCGGCAACATATTTAGTATTCTATAATCAACATTGCCACACATGTTCCTTTCTTTCCATATTCAAGTTACCGCCCTCGTTCGTAACTGCTGCCTTGCACAAAGCACGCCAGAATGACTGGGAACTATATAGTTGAAACCTTCTTGAAACCTCTGATGAAACCTTCTTGAAACCTATATAGCTGAAACTATCTTGAAACCTTCTGATGAGATCCTATGCACAACGCGAACATCAGTTTGGAACTTCAGTGTCCGCTAATGATAATAATGAAATCTTATATGATACATGTGTAAGCTGATGCGCTGGCCCGCTTGTCAGTTTTGTGGATAGTAGACGCTATGTTTGCCGGTATCAGCGTACAGCGCCCTTTGCTTGCTGTATTTGGCCATAAAGTTGGCCATATAACTTCTTCTTGAACATGGCAACTGCTTTCCTTCGTCACATCACAACCACACATGGCAATATTTTGGGCCACTATTCAGAACTATTCCATTTGAATTAGATTTGATATGAAATTTCACTATTCGCACGTCTACTGTGAGCGGCAGGTACACCAACAAGCTACTTCCCTCTAAAAATCCTGCCTGTAGTGCTTGTGGATTCTACTTTGACAGCAACTTTGAGAAGTGCTTTCTAACGGTGTGACAATGTCAGGCATTCGGGGCTTCTTGTCACCCTCCTAGACAGCACAAATGCATATATTTGTCAGTTTCAAATAAATATATATATATGGACCACTGGTAACTGTTTTGCTGATTTCTTCACAGAAAGCTCTCGTAAGTATGCAGTCTTCGCATGTTTTCACTCATGTCAGTAGGATCTTAAATTCCATCTGTAATAATTCGCCTTGATTTGTAGTTCAAATTGATCACCTTGGATTTCTGCTTACGGTGTTTCAATGGAGTAAAATACAAAAAGCTCTTGTTTAGCCATGTTTCATCAGGTCAACTGGTATTGGCACGATCTGATGCATAGGCGCAATTTTCGCCATTCTGTGACTTTGTTCTCAATGCAACCACAGCGCCTGCCTCCCTACTTGTCACTGCCCCATGATTAGACTGAAAACGGGAAAAGGAATGGGCATATGCAGTCCCTTATGTAACAGCTGCCAACAGGATAGCCAACTGTCGATTGGCATCGGCTGAGAGACTTTGGTAAGCTCCTAAAAAAGATCCCAGGCGAGTGCCAAGGGGGGCTCTGCCCCCCATGATGCAGCCCAGAGAAGCACCCCCCCCCCACCTGTACTCTCAGCCTATGATGAGTTGTAAATGTAAAAAAAAAATTGATTCCTCGTGTTCCTTGTTGTAGTGGTTATCACTCCATGTTTATGAATGACATTGTGACCATTGCGTCCACAAAAAAAAACTTACCATCAAACTTTCATTTGGGAGTATGCACTGTGCAGAATATTTTTGTTGTGCCGCTGTTTCTTGCTTATTTTACAACTACAGTAGAATCTCGATGATAGGAATCTCGCGGGGTCACAAAAAATATTCCTAATAGCCAAAATTCGTATCATCGGAACACATGCAAAACTCTCTAAATAAACACAGAGTCGGAGGCAAACTCATTTTCGACACTCGAAAAAACATTTATTCTTTGGAGAAAAAATCTCTGATGTCTTTCTGCTTCTTTTTTTTTTTTTGGCCAAGTCACTCAGCAGACTTCTCTGAAATCCGTAAAAACGCGTACACGTGTCATCACTGATTCCTTCAGCAGCCATAGCACGCCTCAGGACGTCGAGCGCGTGCAGAGTTTCAGCCGCCGGTGGTGGTCCTTCGCCGTCGCACTCGTCCATTTCCTCGTCATCGTCGCTGGAATCGGCAACCTCACACGTGGCCTCATTGACAATATCTTCCACCGTGCGTGCACCACAAGTGGCAAGATTGTCATCCGCCGTGCAAAAGCCGAACACCCGGCATCAAGGCATTCCCAACCCTCAATGGGCCCCCTCAGACTCTGAAAGGGCCTCTGGCACCTCTTCGGGAATACTAAAAATGCCGCATTTACCAAAGCAGTTCGCAATGGTAGTCGACGTTACTCTATATCAAGCCATTGAGATAAAATGGATGGCGTCCAAAAGGCTTATTCACAGGCCACCTTCGTCTTTTCTGTCAATCTTGACAAGGAGGCGGCGCACAAGAAGGTTCTTGAAATGATGTTTGACGTTTTTTATAATGCCAGAGTCAAGCAGTTGCAAGTGCGTCGTCGTGTTAGCGGGCAAAAAAAACCAGCTTGACGTTTTGATGTCGCTTGCTTTGGGTGGGCGGCGCACTGGTCAAGAATCAGAACAATCTTCCGATTCTTGCAGGCCATTCTCCTGTCAAGGAGAGACAGAAATTCTTCGAACAGGGCTGCCGTCATCCACGCTCTTTTGTTTGCACGATAGACGCATGGCAAATGGCTCTTGCGCTTGAAACACCGAGGCTTCTGAAATTTTCCAACTATGGTCAACTTCAGTTTTTCTGACCCGTCGGCGTTACAGCACAGAAGAACCGTTATTTTTTCTTTGCTTCTTTTGCCTCCTTGACACGCTTCGCTTTTTAAGCAAAGGCTCTTCTCTGCTTGAAGATTGAAAAACAGGCCTGCCTCATCTGCATTAAAAACATCACGAGGCTCATAACCCGAGAAAAGACTCCAGCTTCGCAAGCCAGTCGCTTACGGTCTCGTCAGCCTCCACCGTCGCCAGCGCCATCTGAAGCCTTCAAGATAAAGCAAAAGGCGCACTTCAGTGTTCAAGATCGCACAGATCTTAAAGTCTGTCGCCCGCCGTTCGCAGGCGGCGCTGACAACATGCCAAACCGGCGGCGCGGCACGCATTTCAGCGCGTGCGTGCATGCTGCTTGCTACCGCGGCCATCGGTGGGGTTGCGTTTATTCGTATCAAACAACTCTGGTAAAAAATTGGTTCGTAACAACCGTACTCTACATAGTAAATTGATGGGCCTCGGCCGGGATCACAGAAAAATTCGTATCGCCCCGAATTTCGTATCGGCCGTGATCGTAACATCGAGATTCTACTGTAAACATTTGTGAACTGAGGGAAGGTGCACTTGCCTCTAGCTTTGGATTTTTACCAGAGCACACGGAGCATTGAATGGCGGTTTTGTGACCTCTAAACCCCTGTTACATATATTTCAGAACTCCTTGGTATTGACACCTAGCCCACGAGGCCACTCCCATACGAATGGCTTCGGTATGCGCTCGGAGCTGGATCTGCTCAGCAGCCCATTTTCATTTCTCACGGACCAGCGCTGGTCGCCTGCTGGCAGCCCTCCCAGTTCCAGTGTGGAGGATGCGGACAACATTGAGAAGGCGGCTAAGCTGCACAGATCTGCTGCGAGTAAGTTAGGCTGCCTGATCTGTCAGTTCAGTGGTGTGTGCATGTGAACAGGGAGTCTTAGGACTGAGTCAAAAATGAAACGTTGTGAGGCCATTGGCTGTGGCATAATGCTACTGCACGTAGGGTTGTGCTTTAAACTCCATTTATGTTGGAAATCGTAGTACAAACCCTAAAAGTGGCATTTAGTTCTGGAAAATGGTCTACCATAATCTGATTTTGCGCAGTCATGATCACTGAACTGGTGTAACTGAACGACTGTAGTGAATGACCCGCCGTGGTGGTCCAGTGGCTAAGTCACTCTGCTGCTGACCCGCAGGTCGAGAGATCAAATCCCGGCTGCGTTGGCGGCATTTTCGATGGAGGCGAAAATCCTTGCGGCCTGTGTGCACGTTAAAGAACTTCAGGTGGTCGAAATTCCCAGAGCCCTCCATTAGTCTCTCATAATCACATGGTGGCTCTGGGACGTTCAACCCCAACAATTATCATTATGACTATAGTGAATGAATCGGTGAAACATTGTATCAGTACCATATACACTCGCGTGAGGGCCACTTTTTTTCGCGATATTGATGGGTTGCGGCCCTCAATTCATTAATTTCTGATTTGTGTGTATAAAAAAACCAATTTAATCAAGCTATATATACGTAATGATGAGATATCTGGTGTCTAGCTTCGAACATCCTCGCTAATTGTCATCAATATGAAAGGCGGCACAAAGAATCAACGGTGCTGGCGAGAAAGGAAAGATCCAACGCTCACAGGTAACGCCACATGACGAAGCCGCAAGTCAAGTATTGCCATCTGGTGACTCCCGCAAAATGTGCAAGACGTGTCGATGCAGCCATTTGCTGACAAGCTTTCTTTTTTTTTTTCCTTCAAAATTTAGACAGTTAGGTTAGGGGGGTCATGGTTTTTGTAACTGCGACGTGGTTTTTTGTCATGGTGTTGAATTCTCCAAGACACAATTCGTACGCAGCCGTGTCCCCTGCTTCCCTTTTTTTCTTCAAAAATATCTTGCTGCTTGTATAAAGCTGCTTCCTGTGTTCCTTTAATGACTATTTCATTGCTTCAAAAAAGTATTACTAAGTGAAAACATTACTGTATGGTGCTCACTTTCATGCAAGCTTGAACCGCCTGTCAGATTACTGTAAAAAAAAATCTTGAAAGAACACAGCAATGATTCCATGTAGCCCCCCGCGGTGGTCTAGTGGCTAAGGAACTCGGCTACTGACCTGCAGGTCGCGGGTTCGAATCCCGGCTGCGGCGGCTGCATTTTCGATGGAGGCGGAAATGTTGTAGGCCCGTGTGCTCAGATTTGGGTGCACGTTAAAGAACCCCAGGTGGTCTAAATTTCCGGAGCCCTCCACTACGGCATCTCTCATAATCAAATAGTGGTTTTGGGACGTTAAACCCAACATATCAATGATTCCATGTATGTTTACTTCTCTTGTGCACCAATGATTACCATAGCTTTTGATTAAAGCTGTATATAACCTGTACAACCTATCTTTTAAAACGCTCTTTCACTGTAGCATTAAAACTTGAATGCACTTGCGAAACCGAAACAGAAATTGCCTGCAAAAGGACTACTTCGTGTTACACCAATGCCACACTGGAAAGTTAGTGTCATTTGGTTCGAAGGTCATTCGAGGCAACGAATGTCATTTGATATGAGGTTGTGCTACACCATAGGTGGACCCTACCGCGTCTTGTGTCTGAAGTCATCCCCCTGCACTTCATTGTCTACAGACATTGTTCATGTCTCCCTACTTAACCTCTACCACTCCTCAACACCATCGAAAGCACAGAGACTGTGCTTCTGCACCCGGGGTAATGTTACAAAACTACATCACGCTGAAGAAGCAAAACAGCGAGAAAGACTACGCGACTTCGGGATGTGGGGCACGCTCTCGCTTGCCATGTCTGCTTAGGCTTGGCATTGTGCAAATATGTCTCAACTGTCACCTCGTTTCTTTTTGTGCATTCCCCTAACATCATAAAATCACATAGCTTTAAAGGCAAGTGATTATAAAGCCAAACTACAGTTTGCACAACTGCCGCGCACGAAACCACAGTCGCGGCGATGCAATAGCGATCTACGAGCTTAGAGGGCACGTGGCTGGTGCAGCGCTAGAAAAAGGTGGTAATGACAAAAATAATTCTAAAAGCGTTTTGGCGTTCCTGTCTAATACACCTAGTATCGAGCAAAGCCAAAGCTTTGACCCCCACTTTCGCGACAGCCAGCTTCGCCATCCCATTCGTTAACGTGTGAAGACGTAGACGAGTTCACAGAAATCTGTTTTTTTGCTTCTTGTTTCGACTGCACGGAATGTTGGGAGTATGTGCGCTGCCCCTTTGAAACTTTACTGTAGTGGGAAATCCTACTGTAGTGTTTTGTGCCATTTAAAGCCATTATGAGACCGCAATGCCGATATACACACTTCCGTTTGAGACTCCCCCCCTCTTACTTTTGCGGTTTATCTCCTGTTGCCGAAAATTGGAGAAAACAATCAACTTGACTTGTGGCGGCAAGACATGATTATCTTGTATCTAAAGGCAAATTCATCACAGCTACAAATTGAAAAAAAAATGGCAGCATATTCACGGGGTGAATGATGGAGAGCGGGGCGAAGCATCCGTCCATTCGTTCTTGTGACCGTCCGTGGGTGCGTCTCTTCGTGCGTCCGCACGTGTATCGGTGCGTTCGTCTGTGCATCCACCCCTGCATCTGTCCGTGCATCTGTCTGTGTGCCTGCTTGTCCATCTAGTCAACACTCCAAGTACCACCATCTCACATCTTTTCGTTGTATATTCCACACATAGAAGCACCGCCATCCAGCGGACATTCCAAGGACTGAATGAGAGGTGGCACACGCACACTTTCTTACGGCTTGCACTTCGTGTCTACTTCCCACCTTTAACCACCTTGAGTTCGTGGTGTATACTAGTTCACTGGAACTGCATTACGAGGCCTGGGGTGCGGCCTCACCGGTAACCACCGCCGGAACGCACTCCCTCACCACAGAAGGATTGGCCACTCTGGTGCAGTATCTGGCCACTACCTCCCACATGCATACGTCAAATAACTCACGGCCCTCAGTCCCCAGCAGCTGCGAAGCACCTGACCACAACGGCGGTCAGATCTGCAACGCAGCAGAGGGTGCTAAGAATTTCTGGATCCGGACAGGCCGCCATTGGAACCTGAACTTGGCAATGTTTAACGCTAGAACCTTATCTAGTGAGGGAAGTCTAGCTGTACTATTCGAGGAGCTAGAGGGTGTTAAATGGGATATAATAGGGCTCAGTGAGGTTAGGAGGACAGATGAGGCCTATACGGTGCTACAGAATGGGCACGTCCTTTGATATCGGGGCTTGGCTGACAGTAGAGAACTGGGAGTGGGGTTCCTAATTCACAGAAACATAGCTGGCAACATAGAGGAATACTATAGCATTAATGAAAGGGTGGTAGGTATCGTAATTAAAGTGAATAAGATATACAATATGCAGGCAGAACAGGCTTACGCGCCTACATCTAGCCATGATGACGCTTCAGTTGAAAGCTTCTATAAAGACGTGAAATCGGCAATGAGTAAGGTAAAAACACAGTATACAATACTGATGGGAGACTTTAATGCAAAGGTAGGAAAGAAGCCGGCTGGAGACCAGGCAGTAGGAGATTATGGCATCGGTACTAGAAACGCCAGAGGAGAGCTACTAGTAGAATTCGCAGAACGCAATAATTTACGGATTTTGAATACCTTCTACCGAAAACGAGGAAACCGCAAGTGGACATAAAGGAGCCCTAATAGCGAAAATAAGAATGAAATAGACTATATAACGAGTGCACACCCAGGCATCGTGCAGGATGTGGAAGTAATTGGCAAGATACAATTCAGTGACCATAGAATGGTACGGTCTCGAATTCGCCTAGACTTGAGGAAGGAACGACAGAAACTGATACGCAAGAAGCCACTCAATGAGCTAGCACTGAGAGGGAAAGTGCAGGAATTCAGTGTCGCTGCAGAACAGGTACTCGGCTCTTAGTGAGGAAACCAACCTTAGCGTAGATACAATGAATGATAATCTGACGAGTATCATTACGGAGTGTGCAGTGGAAGTTGGAGGCAGGGTAGTTAGACAGGACACTGGCAAGCTTTCCCAGGAAACGAAGAACCTAGTTAAAAAGCGCCAAATCATGAAAGTCTCAAGTACAACAGACAAAATAGAACTGGCAGAGCTTTCGAAGTTGATTAATAGGCGTAAGGTATCTGATGTAAGAAGGTATAACATGGAGAGAATTGAACACGCTCTGAAAAACGGAGGAAGCGTCAATGCAGTGAAGAGGAAACTTGGGATAGGCAAAAATCAGATGTATGCACTAAGGGACAAAGAAGGCAAAATAACGACCAATATGGATAGGATAGTTAAAATAGCGGAGGAGTTTTACAGAGATCTGTACAGTAGCCGGCACAACCACGACTTTAATACTATAAGAACTAGCAGTAACCCAGATGACACCCCACCAGTAATAAGTCAGAAAAGCTTTCGAGAGCATGCAAAGAGGCAAAGCTGCTGGTGAGGATCAGGTAACATCAAATCTGCTGAAAGATGGAGGACAGATGGTCTTAGAAAAACTAGCCACCTTGTTTACGAGGTGTCTCCTGACGGGAAGAGTACCAGAGTCTTGGAAGAACGCCAACATCATCTTGATACATGAGAAAGGAGATGACAAGGACTTAAAGAATTACAGGCCGATCAGCTTGCTCTGTATAGTATACAAGTTATTTACAAAGATAACTGCTAACAGAGTAAAGAAAACATTAGAATTCAATCAACCAAAGGAACAAGCAGGATTTCGAACATGCTACTCAACAATCGACCACATTCATACTATCAATCAGGTAATAGAGAAATCAGAATATAACCAACCACTATACATAGCCTTTGTAGATTACGAGAAGGCATTTGATTCAGTAGAAATATCAGCCGTCATGCAGACACTGCGGAATCAGGGCGTTAATGAAGTATATATAAACAACCTGGAAGAAATCTACAGGGGATCAACTGCTACCATAGTGCTTCATAAAGAAAGCAACAGAATACCAATCAAGAAGGGTGTAAGGCAGGGGGACACAATCTTCCCAATGCTATTTACCGCGTGCTTATAGGAGGTTTCCAGAAGCCTAGAATGGGAACAGTAAGGGATGTTAATGGAGAACAGTTAATGGAGAGTACCTTAGCAACCTGCGCTTTGCCGATGACATTGCATTGCTGAGTAACTCAGGGGACGAATTGCAACTCATGATCACGGAGTTGGACAAGGAGAGCAGAAGGTGGGTCTTAAAATGAATCTGCAGAAAAACGAAAGTAATGTACAACAACCTCGGAAAAGAGCAGCGCTTCGAGATAGGTAATAGTGCACTTGAAGTTGTAAAAGACTATGTCTACTTAGGGCAGGTAATAACCGCAGAGCCGAACAACGAGATTGAAGTAACTAGAAGAATAAGAATGGGGTTGAGCACATTTGGCAAGCACTCTCAAACTATGACAGGTAGATTGCCACTATCCCTCAAGAGGAAGGTATATATAACAGCTGTATCTTACCGGTACTTAGCTACGGAGCAGAAACCTGGAGACTTACAAAGAAGGATCAGCTTAAATTGAGGACGACGCAATGAGCAATGGAAAGAAAAATGGTAGGTGTAACCTTAAGAGACAAGAAGAGAGCAGAGTGGATTAGGGGACAAACGGGGGTTAAGGATATCATAGTTGAAATAAAGAAGAGGAAATGGACATGGGCCGGGCATGTAGCGCGTAGACAGGATAACCGCGGGTCATTAAGGGTAACTAATAGGATTCCCAGAGAAGGGAAGCGGGTTAGGGGGAGACAGAAGGTTAGGTGGGCAGATGAGATTAAGAAGTTTGCGGGTATAAATTGGCAGCAGCAAGCACAGGACCGGGTTAACTGGCGGAACATGGGAGAGGCCTTTGTCCTGCAGTGGACGGAGTCGGGCTGATGATGATGATGATGGTGCTACACCAAAAGGTAATGCCATTTGTTCGTGATACCGATGTCGATAATTTAGAGAAAGCTGGAAAAGTTGAGTAAGGCAAATGCAGCATGATAGAAAATGTAAGTTATTTATTTTAAAAGACACTTAGAGGGTCACTTTGCTAAAACTCGTAGAAATTTTATATTAGAATATTTCTGACCACAAGCCAACACGAGCTTTGACCTCTAGCCGCAGTTGACACCGTTTTTACTGGCGTAATCCTCGCACCCCCACATCGCCCAACAAAAATAAGATTTCTTTTTTCCTCAAGTAATTATTGCATGCCCGAAAACTGCCGCAATAATGTTGTCTGCTCGTTTCAGCCACTGATGATGATAGTGCATGCCATCTGGCGCCATCTCTTAAGCAGCAAGCATACTATTTTTGCACAGGTTCAATTCAATCTAAGCCAAGCCAAAGTGGCAAGTGCGTGTTGTGGCGTGTTTTGTATGTTGGGTGTTATCACGTTATGGCGTGATACTGAAGCTACATGGCTGCTTTAAAGTTGGAAATGATAGATCATGCACTTAACAACTGCATCAGGTCCGCCGGTAGGCCTTTCGGAGTCTACGAGTTTTGTGTTCGCTACTGGCGACAGCAGCTGAAAGCCACCAAGACGCGTTGGGCCTGCCATGTGCCTAAAACTGAGATTGATGGTAAAGTTTTTTTTTTTTTTTTAGAAACTGTGGATGATTCTGTTAAATAGCAATCAGCCCAATTCTGACCTCCTACGCTTACATTTCGAGTGCTCCTGTTGAGCGACGAACGCTACCGTTATGCCCGCAACACCCACAAGCTTTGCGTATGGTATTCTAATTCCCGATTAATTGCTTGCACTTTTTGTCTCAAATCTACCCTTGTATTGAACCTGTGCTTTTTTTTGTTGAGGTAAGTTTTAATTAGTACTTCAAACCTTGCTGTTAGTTGCTGGTGTGAGAATCCCGATTTGCAGCCACTTCGTTTTCTTTCGCTCTGTACGTTTTGTGGAAAGTTTTCCCCGCGTAATTCGCACCACTCACAACTTTGCATCGGTATTCCGTGGAAAAAAAGTGTGAGGATTATGCGAGTAAATACGGTAGAATGAACACAAGCAACATGGCAGTACCACTGAACGATGCTAAGCTGCAGCAACTAAAGCATTTAGTTCCTGTCTACTTGGCGCTTCGAGAGAAGCGTGTTAGCCAGAAGAGGCTTGAGTATGAGATAAACGAAGAATGTAAACGCAGCGACGACATTCAGCAGCGTATCCAAGCAAACGCGTACGCTAATGCAGTAGTGGTCGCTACTGCATCGATAATTCACCGTTGGACCTTCCTAAGGCTGCCAAACCTTGGAGACTGTCACTTCTAACAAGTCTTTTGTGTGTCACCCCCTACGTTTAGGTATTTGGCGGAAGCCTGCGGATGTGTTAGAAAGACAGACAACACCGGCCAACCACACCGCCTGGAAGCCTGCGAGTAGTCTCTGTACCATTGAGGTTGAGCGTACAAACCTTTTGCGACAGCCTTCCACACAACTGCTGCCCCGCCGCGGTGGTCTAGTGGCTAATGTATTCGGCTGCCGACCCGCAGGTCGCGGGTTCGGATCCCGGCTGTGGCGGCTGCATTTCCGATCGAGGCGGAAATGTCGTAGGCCCGTGTGCTCAGGTTTGGGTGCACGTTAAAGGACCCCAGGTGGTCGAAATTTTCCGGAGCCCTCCACAACGGCGTCTCTCATAATCATGTGGTGGTTTTGGGACGTTAAATCCCACATATCAATCAATCCACACAACTGCTCTTGTTAAAATCAAAGGTGCCTTAGAAAAGCCCCGCCGCGGTGGTCTAGTGGCTAATGTATTCGGCTGCTGACCCGCAGGTCGCGGGTTCAAATCCTGGCTGCGGCGGCTGCATTTTTGATGGCAGAAATGTTGTAGGCCCAAGTACTCGGATTTGGGTGCACGTTAAAGAACCCCAGGTGGTCAAAATTTCCGGAGCCCTCCACTACGGTGTCTCTCATAATCATATGGTGGTTTTGGGACGTTAAATCCAACAAGTCTCTAATCATCGATGCCTTAAAAAAGAAGTCCAAACTATTAGCGTGTTTGCAATTTTTCTTGCATTGAGAATGCTAAGCGCCACATTTCAAGTAATCAATGGGGTTGAGAGTATACATTCAGTGCTCGTGCAATGGCGAATGTGTTTCTTGAACTCATTCAATCACCTAAGTCATTCGGTTCTAATGACATTAAATATTGCTGTGTAGCAGCCGCGTAATCTCATTAGGTGGGAATGTCATTCAGTTCGGATGACGTTAAGACGTCCAGTGTAGCAGGGGTATTACACATGTACAGAAGCTCCACCCATGTAGCTTTGGCTGTGTGGCCACAAAAAGTTTTCGCGAGGTGTAGGTCGGGAAGCTTTTTTTTTTATGGTGTGTGGGGGAGGGGAGACCAGTACGTTGACTGGGAAGAAAAGGAAAACAAAAACAATGGCTTTCACCTTCAAGTTGTCTTAGATGACTACACAAGGGACCCCGTTAGTTTTGGTGAATTGGCACGTCTAGTTCCGTCTTAAAGTGAACTGTTGTTCAATCCTGTGCCCCTTGCTACAGTGCCCCTTAGTACTGACACCTTCTTTAATGCATTAAATTTTACCATCAAAGGTACAAAGACTGCCTGATTGACTTGTGGATGTTATAGAGACAAGTTCAGAGTAGCTTTTTTATACACCCAATATATTTATATCCATTTATACACCCAATAAATTGAGCAATACAATTATGCTGATACCCACTGGGATTGCCTAGCAGGCAGAAAGGTGCACTGCCAAGCTTAAGGTCAGTTTCAGTTCCTGGCCACTGCAGCTGCATTGCAATAGAAGTGAAATGATATAACACCTGTGGACTTAATTATAGGCACACGTTAAAAAGCACCAAGTGGTCAAAATTATTTCAGTCCCCCAACTATAGCATGCACATCATACCGCTACTCATCTACCCATTGCCATGTGCATGCTGTATATAGAAGGTAGAAAGAGGAATGAAGTATCTGGCAAGCAATATTTACAAACATCAACGTACTGCCCTTCACTCTATCTGTGCATTATGACCACTATCTCTACTGCATAACATCTTATTTTAAACATTTATAATGCCAGTTTTACTGATAATACTGATGTTGCTGCAGGTTTCTCAGAGGCCAGTTGTTGCTGGAGTGGGACCTTGCCTCCACGCACTCTCAAGAGCTCGTCTTTGTCATGCAAGGTGTTCCTCGGAGGAGTGCCCTGGGACATATCTGAGCCTGGCCTCGTAGAGGCTTTTGCCTCCTTCGGCAACATCAAGGTGCAGTGGCCGAGCCGCGAGCGGAGCCAGAGCTTTCCCCCCAAGGCAGGCTACGTGTACATCATCTTTGAGAACGAAAAGCAGGTCAAGATGCTGCTACGCTCGTGCAGTCAGGACTTCATGAATGGAGGCAACTGGTACTACAAGATATCATCGCGCCGCATGCGCTGCAAGGAGGTGCAAGTGATCCCGTGGGTGCTGAGTGACAGCAACTATGTGCGCTGCCCGTCTCAGCGGCTGGACCCGGGAAAGACTGTGTTTGTGGGAGCCCTGCACGGCATGCTCAATGCTCAGGGCCTGGCCCTTGTGATGGAAGAACTCTTTGGGGGAGTCCTGTATGCAGGGATCGACACGGACAAGTACAAGTACCCAATTGGTGAGGCCCAAACCTTTCTTTGTCTTTGCATACTGATTCTCCTATTGTACTAACTGTTTTTATGCATAGTGATTCAGCTAGGAGGGTCTTGGCAATGAAATCATCGAATGAAATGCAAATTTGTTGATCGAAACAACTTCCATATACCTAATTATTATACAGTTAAACCTCGCTATAACGAAATTGGAGTGCCGCCGCTATTTTCTCGTTATAGCCAATATTTAGTTATAGCCATAGCGGGCATTTACCGCAAATATTATGCACTGTACTTACCCCAAAAAAATAGCGGACGAAACAGCATCCCGCCGCACGATGGTATGCAACAAAATAACCGCATTCCCAAATAAAAAGGAAAAAGTCATGCACCTGTTTTAAGCACTACAAAATACACAGCTTGCATTTCAGGCAGACTTGGCTGCAAAGAAGTCTGTAATTGGACGTTGATGCATCTTCCTGATGCGAACGATGGCTCGCTCAACTGTGGCCGCAATGTTCAAGCCATCTTCGCCGCCCTCGTGAGCGCCGAACTAGCGGCGCAGTACGTCCACCGCGTCTAATGCCTCCGACGCCGTCGGCACGTTTGTCTCCTGTTCGTCGACAGAGTCATCGTCACTGGTTTCGTTATGATCACTGACAGTGCGCACAATATCGTCATCCAGGAGCTGCTCCGTTGCCACCACTTCCGAGTCCGCACTCACATAGTCGCAACACGACTCGCTGTCAGGCATGACACCGGCGTCACGAAGTGCCGTTCATGATGCAGCGACTTCGTCTGATGTGGCAAAACCGTCCGGCACAGTGGGCTCGTCTGATGGCTCATCGCTGGCGTCTGGTGCGGCGGCAAATGAGGCGTGTCGAAAGCAGTTTGCGATCGTGGTCGCTGTCACACTCATCCATGCCGCCTGAAGCATTTCGAGCGCAGCGTACAAGTCAACATCAGTGTCTCGCTTCATCCTCATGTTGAGCAGGAGCTTGTCTATCACACGCTTGCGGTAACCTGCCTTCAGTGGCATAATCACGCCTTGGTCAAGCGGCTGTATTTTTGCGGTGCCGTTCGCAGGAAGGAACAGCAGCTCGATGTTTTGAAGCACGGCAGCGGTATGGTGGGCGGTGCAGTTATCTAAAACAAGGCACACCTTGCGGTTCGCCTTTGCCAGCTTCTCTTGCCATTCGCAAAGCCATTTTGAAAAAATCTCCCTGGTCATCCAGGCTTTGCGATTGGCTACGTACTTGACTGGGAACTGCCTCTTCCCCTTAAAGCAGCGAGGGGATGCACTTTTGCCAATTACGAAAATTGGCAGCTTCTCAGAGCCGGTCATGTTTGCACAAAGTAGCGCAGTGATCCGCAGCTTACTTTGTTTGCCGCCATGGCACGGCTCACTTTTGAGGGCTAACGTCTTGTGCGGCAACATCTTGAAAAAGAGAGCGGTTTCGTCCACGTTAAAAATATCCTCCGCGCTGTATTTTTCTAGCAGCCGCACGATGTTTTCTTTCGCCCACTTCGTAGCCTCTGCTTCGTCGACAGATTGCGATTCGCCGCAGACTGCTCTCCCGACAATGTCGTGGCGCTCCTTGAAGCGTTGTAGCCAACCCGAACTTGCTATGAAGTTGTCATAGCCCATGATGCAGGCAAAGTCTCTCGCTTTTCTTTGCAGCAAGGCGCCGCTCACCGGCAGATTCACGGCCGGCGTGTCCAAGAACCATTTAAAAACGGCCCTTTCGACCGCTTCAAAGGCAGGTGCCCTCATCCTCTTGGCACTTCCTTTCCGCCACGTGCAACAGCGTCGATGATGGACGCCTGCTTGCTCAAGATGCTTGACTGTGTGCTCGTCGATACGCCAGTCTTTTGCCACGTTGCCTTTCTTGGACCCCGATTCCACAGCTCTTATCATAGCCGCCTTCTGATCTAGCGTTATGCGCTTTCGCTTCCCGCCTGGCGCATTCATGTTGCTGGAATCACGAGCGCAGCACGATAAAAGATAAGGCGGAAGCGGTCGAAAAAGAGAAGAAACACGCACGCAAAAGCAACACGGCTCACGTCGGCGAGCGACAACACTTGCAGAGAAAGTGACTGTGAAGAGGAAGGGGCAGAAGGGGCGCTCTTTTGCGCTGCCCTCTAGAAACCGGTTACTCAAGGGGAAGGGGGTATGTAAGATTAGAAAGCGCGCCTCAGCGCCATGAGAAAGTGGAGAATATAAAGAACACAAAAGAAAAGAAAAGGGCGAGATGTTCGCGGAGCTGCGGAGCGCTCCGCTGTCGGTGGTAGCCAAGCGGCGCACGTGCAGTGACCTCTCCTCCGGAAACAGCGAGTGCAGTCTGCTTTGCGCGCGTTGCTGGAGGGCGCGTGGCGGGAGTTTTTAACTGCTAAATACAGTTCTCGCGTTGCGCGTCGTCTCAAATTCGCGTTGTGCACTGTCGTGACATCGGCTCAAAATTTTACTTCCTAAAAAAATTGGTTCGTTATATCCCATAACAGGCAAATTTTGCCTCGTTAAAACGAGGTGTTGAATACATTGGTTTGTATGGGGACTTTCAAGGGGAATCAGGATTTGCTCGTTATATTCATTATTTCGTTATAGCCCGTCTGATTATAACGAGGTTTAACTGTACAGTGGAACCTCGCTACGCAAAATTGGCGGAGCACAAAAAAAATACTACGTTCAAATGAAAATTTCATTGCACCTTATTTACTCGATTCTACCGCGCCCTCGATTGTAACGCGCACCCGATTTCCACGACGAAAAAAAAAAATGTAAGACATCAATTCCAACGCACCCATTTTTCTCAGCAGCGCTGCCATGAGATTCTCATCCATGAAAGGAATGCCATGGTGGAAAGAGCGCAGAAAAAATGGCCATAGCGGATTTCCGTAACAGACCTAACAACAGTCGCACTAACACACTAGCACTGCCCAGCAGCTGTCCACCGTCAAAGCGCATCTGACAACGCAGAGATGGAGGTGTGGTATTGTGGAGCGATGACTTGCGCCTATTCTTATCATTCATCAGTCGCAGCATGCCGATTTGGTTTATAACGCAAACAGCAGCAATGACCACTGACCACACTGGCTAAGCGCAAAAAGAACTGAAAGCATTAGCATGGCATTGGCATCAAAAAAGCCATCGTTCCACGATTGCACCCAGTAACAGCGTGCAGAAAACTGAGCGACTGAGCTTCGGCTTTAGATTGTCTGCGGCCCAGAAGCACGTCGGTAGCAAAAACAAAGCAGTCTCATTGCCATTGCTATCGAGCAATTACGGCCTCCATGCTTAGTAAACAGCGGTGGTTTCTGATGGTGCCAACGCATGTCTGGCTTTGTTGATGTATACTTATGTTCCGAAAATGCATCGAAATATTCAAGGTTGTTTACTGCACATGATGAAATATTGGAGCCTGGAATCACATCGTCGAATTTTGTTGAAGCAGAACTGTAGAAGAAAAAGAGTTCATTGTGGCGAGAATATTTATGCATTGACTCGCATGAACTGCAGACGGGGAACCAAGACTTTTTCATTATAGCAGAAATTTCGTTGAAGCCACGTTTGTTGTAGAGGGGTTTGACTGCATCACTGAACTTAGTGAAGCGTATTTTGGTCTTGGTGGAAAATAAGGGAAGCCTAAGGACCATATTTACATCACTTGTTTACAGGCAAACTCTGTGCATGAAACTCCAAAAATTGACGCTCAGTTAACCACAGAGCCTATAAATGACCAATAGCTGCATTAGTTATTTAAAGCACTGAGGGAATGAGTATATGAAAAATAGAACAGTCCACCATCACGTGCACATAAGTGTAGTTCTTTCGAAGAAAAAAAAATGTGCACCACTCCCTGTTTTCAACGAATGGGAAAGATGGTACAAATGACCAACTGAAACTGCTTAAGCCAGAATTCATCAATTTGCATATAGGCTAATTGATGAATGACTAAGCCCCGTGCATTCACTGAGGAACATAGTCGTACCACTGCACAGTAACCATAGCTTCACTGAAGCAGGAATGTCACAACAGCCCTCGCTTCCATTAGTCCCTCTCCAGTGCTATTATCCGTTACACAGAAACTAATACTTCAAATGGATACTATCTGAAGCAATATGGGATGATGTATTCTCGAAGTAAACAGCAAGGAGTATTGAATTTCTGCTCAATCGTTCATACAATTTTGCACACCTCTAGACTCGAGGGCACCAACATGCAAGCACCTGTGGCTAGCAACACAGAAATAGTCCATGCACTTGGAGCATTTAGCATTATACAGTCAACTGCCGATTTTTTGGACCCTCTAGAGAGCGGAAAAACCGTCCGAAAATTCGGGCAGTCCGAAAAAATGAATGCTAGCAGAAAAAACTCATTTTAGTGATAGTTTTCAATGCAAGCAAAAAAAAAGCACCATTTTGCTAATATTTCTCAATGCAAGCACCAGACGGTTTCGGGTACCAGACGGTTTTTCGGCAGCTTCCAAGATCTTGTTTTGTTCCTCAGGAAATCGGAAACTGTTTGCTTGGAAATGCCGAACTCCTTTCTCACGTCAGCCTGCGATCGGCCACTCTTCACTAACTTAATAATGGCGGCTTTCTTCTCCATTGTTAACTGACGGTACTGTTTTTCGCGCTTCGATGCCATCGGCGAGGACGACGAAGGTGCAGTGGGGGCTATCGCAGGCAAGCGAAATCTTCACGATGTGAACAAAGGAGTTTCTGACGAGCGTCGAAGAATCTAGGCTTAGCGTTGCAGAGCACACTTCACACGATAGCACAACCATGCTCTAGGCTAGCCAAACACCATGTGGGCTGCGTAAACAAAACGACGCGATGGCAGGCGACGGTGCCTCAGGTACTCCGGAAATGGCGCTGGTCAACATTCAAGACAGCCAGCGTGGCCAGACCAAATCGGTGTGTAACGGTTAGTTCTAGTTCAAAGTGGTGAAACGCTTCGCGAAAGCACTGCGCGGGAAGTCAGAGTGGCACGCACAAGCGCTAAAGTGAAAGGAACTTTATTGGCGCCAAAAAATTTCCAGGTGGATAGTTTCGATTGTCAGCGAAGTAGACCCGCCGCCACAGTAGACCGGCGCGCTCATTTATGTGATCGTAATCGCGTGTGACGCAGTTGTGGTGGTTTCCACTGGAGGTCGGTAGTGGTTTCCGACCTTCTGTCGCGTCAAAAAGTCTGGAAAATTGGACTCCGGGGGGTTCGCGCGTTCGAAATTTCAGACTTCTTTATACATTGATTCTATGGGGCTCGTGGCGGTGCCGCAAATATGTTCGAATTATCGGGCATGTCCGAAAATTCGGGTGTCCGAAAAATCGGCAGTTCGCTGTAGTTGTAAGAAGCAATACAAATTGACTGTGATATCAAATCGCTGGCTTTACATAGGCATCATCCATGACCACAATGTGTCGAGGAGAAAAAAATTACAACTCGGAGTGTTACACATTCATGAGTAAAAACACGATAAATTCTAAAAAAGAACCCTATACGATTGTTCCAATGAATTCCTGCATTCCAACAAATGTCTGTATCGTTCAGACTTACAAAAATATATGCACAAAGTGAGCTCAAGTGGAAACACAGGTTTTTTGATCCAGTCAGCATTGTCTCGCCACGCACTCTTGTGAGATGTTGCTTACTCAACATCTGCATTTTAACCTGTAACTTTTCGCGAGATGGGCTGGCGTTTACTGAATCGAATCGATTCAGAACTAGAGTGGCAATTCAAAAGAATCGCTGCTGGACTCGCTTGCAGCAGAGAAACTGACGTGCACTTACACAGCGCAAGCTGTGTGGCAAGTGCTCTGGCAAAAAAAAAACTCTTTGTATGTGCAGAAAGTAAAAACAAGTTTAAAACCAATCATTTTTTTTCTCTAAAGAGATGGAAGCTCTTTTTGTATACCCTAAAAATGACTCTAAATGCAATCATACCAGTATCGTTTGTATAAGTCAGTGCCGGCACAAAAACGGGAATAATTGCATACTGGGGAGCAAAAAATGAGTGACAAGGTGGTCACTTTTTCAAAGATTCAACCAAAAAGCAGAGCTTTGCGGGCCTAACAAAAGGGGAACCGGCCAAAAGATGGAACCAAAGCTAGTCAACCCACTGCTCTTCTCCTCTTGCTACTTCCGAGAAAGCCTAGCTGATGTGGCCTTGCTAACGAAGGTGTGCTCCCTTCGAGTCCAGAGTTGCAAATCTGCCTTTTAGACGTCCATATAGATAACGTCTGAAATTTTGGATGCTAAAATCTTTGGCATCTGATTTTTCAGACCTTCTGCCCAAATCTCAACTCCTAAGCAGCATCGAGCCCCACCTCTGCCACAAATATCTCCATCTTGGAACCAGTGTTTTTTCGATTCAGTACATTTTCGACTGTAGCAGTACTTGAATGAGCTTTTTACCGCAATACAGGAGTGTGATGGGGTGAAGCATTGAAAACCTGAAGGGGCTACTGTCAATTTGACATGGACTGTATTTATCTTCAACAAGTTTGAATAGTTTCTAAATAGTAGTTTCAGTGTGAATCGCATAGCAAACGCTATTAGAAAAATATGCTGAATTTTGAATATTTACACACCTTTAAGATTACATACATGTATTGCACTTAAGGAACATTCTATTACATTAAGATTTACGAGATATGCAAGTAAATAGCACAGTTTGTAAGGCTCTGTGAGACACTAAAAGAATTGTGCAGCAAAGACTACTCAACTTTTTATGGGCATACACAATAAAGTTGATGCTGAAGAATTAGTTTCCATGAACCTCTTGCAATGGCTAATACAATGTCGTGCAGCAATCAAGAAGCTTTAAATTGAGCTGCGCTCTTACAAATATGTGACTTGCAGTAACGCCTCGTTATAGTATGCACAAAATACAAAGTACATGCTTGAAAGAGCTCTGCAGTGTCAAGCGACACCCAACACACAGTCAACAGCAGAAGCTCCATGCCGTGATATCGTGTGGTTTACTAACACATCAAACTTGTCACTAGGGGTTGAGCAACCAACTTCTCGTATCAAACCACTTTGTTTTCATACTCAGAAAATTTCGGCTGAAAATCTTGCTATTTTACAGCTTACTTCATCTGTACCATTTTTTTTCAACATACATGCAGGTGAGGGCTATATTATGCCCAACATATAACATCACTCAAGAGTAGTATTCAAGGTTGGTACCCATCAGGTTTACTGCAGGACACAGGCAACATATGTGGGATTTGGTTCCCACATATGGTCCCACAATTGGTTCAGCACTAACAGCAATGGCACCATGCGCACAAGCTTTGCGACCTTGTCACTATACTTGTCGTCTGTCCTCCATTATGATACTCTGAGAAGTGACATACAACAGGAACCAAAACTCTGATTGAAGCAGAAAGAAGTTAGCTTGGTAAACAAAACTAGAACTAAGTTATACTATAGCAGAACAGCTCGCGTCATTTTTTCTTATTAACGAATACAATGTGCTCGTTACATTCAGCTACGCCTAACACATCCAGCTACTCTTAGTTTGTTTGGTACCTCATACGGAAATCTGTGGCACTTTGCCCCGCCGCAGGGGTCTAGTGGCTAAGCTGCTGACCCGCAGGTCGCGGGATTGAATCCTGGCTGCAGCGGCTGCATTTTCGATGGAGGCGAAATATTGTAGGCCCGTGTGCTCAGATTTGGGTGCACGTTAAAGAACCCCAGCCGGTCTAAATTTCTGGAGCCCTCCACTACATCTCTCACAATCAAATGGTGGTTTTGGGACGTTAAACCCCACTTATCAATCAGTCTGTGGTACTTTTTCATTCATACAGGGTCTGGCAGGGTGACGTTCAACAACCAGAAGAGCTATCTCAAGGCTGTGGCAGCATCGTTTGTGGAGATCAAGACTCCCCGGTTTTCGAAAAAGGTTTGTACACCAGCATTCAATTTCGCATGAGAAACTGCAAGTTGCAATCTGGCTTATTAGTAACTTAGTGAACATGTTAGTACCCTCATCAAAAGGAAGAATTTTACTACCACATGACTGCACAGATGAAATTCTTGAACAAAGTGTTAGTGAAGCCAATGTTTCGACTAGCATTTTTGTCTTCAAGGCTGCAGTTATCGCCTATTAGAAAGTATTGCTTGTTGAAATATTTACTGCAGTGAAACCCAGTGTTCAAGAATTTCATCTGCTCAAGCTTCCATTTTCCTATGAACCTCGGAGAGCTGTAGCGCCATAGAAGTGTTGCGAGCCTTAACAAGTACATATTTCAAGCTTGCTTTGGGAATATATTTGATGATTTTAAGATTTCAATATCAGCAATAAGAAATTTGTTTGCATAGTATTCATAAACCTAAAGAGCCTCTGTAACCTAGCAGCATAAGGTGTCATGCTGCCAAACTTCCAGGCTCAAGTCACATTGCTGGTCACAGCGGCCACTTTTTTGCAGGGGCAAAGTGCAAATATCACCTGTATGTCCAGATTTATATGCACATTACTCCAAACTCCATGCTCCAAACTAGTCTCTCCACTATGGTTTCGAAGCCAGTTATGCAAGATTAACTGGCCCAACAATTTGTTAGAGGTAAAGGGTTCTCAATACATGTGCTCCATAAGATGAACGTGGAGAGTTTGGCTGCCCAATTGAAGCAACGAGGAAGCACAAAATCCTCATCTTGCTCTAGCTTGTACAACTCAACATTGCACTAATAATCTTATAGTGAATAATTAAAATGCAGTGACTCCGAATTCAGTGTCAAGCCGGTAGTCGAAATTGACGTTATAAAGGTATTTGAGTGTCAGAATGCATTTGTTTCCAGAATATATATCCAGGTATAATGTGAATCTGACAGTCTTCAGTAATGATTCTTTGTATACGCATTTTTTGTTTTACTCAAATGTTGCAAGATTTCACAATTGGAGAGCTTCGTGAAAAAAGTGGTTTTCAAAAATGTACATCGCCCAGTTGGCCAGGAATGGACTCAGTAGCTTCTTTAAAAAAGTCTGGACTTCTAAACCTAAAAGCAGTCTAGAAGAACAGAATATTAAAGGCCTTTAAAGCTTTGCCTTTAAAAGTCAAGTGCGTACTTAAAACAGTGCATGAAACCTTTTCGAACTTGCTATGCACCCACTGTGGCCTTGAAGGGGCCCTCTAACACTATTGAAGCACCTATTTATCTGTGGTTTACGTAGATCCATAGCTGTAAATAATTTTAGCGTGGGTGTAAGCACCGATATCAAATAATTTAGTATTTTAAACACTCAATAAAGTCGCTACATTGCTGCCGACCGCATTACCACATAGTGGCACTCGCCAGAACTTTGCAGGCGAAAATGACGCCAGGAGGTTGCCGCCATATCATTGGATAAATGTAATGTTAGAAGCGATCGTGGTGTAGGATCAAAACTGAGGTTAGTAATCTGTTTCATTTTTCTTCTCTGTGCCTTTTCATCGAACCCTAAAGAGACGCGGCCACAACAAAAAGAAAGGTCACTGCGATTACAAAGCATGACAGAGGTGCTGGCTGCCATTTCGCTACTGGATTTTCGGCTTGCGCGGGTCAGATGTATATACAAAAGACCTCTCTCTCTCTTTCCTCTTTTTGCTTTTGGGAGTTTGCGAGCTGTCTCTTTCTGCACGAGTGCTGTTGAAGGGGTGCAGTGCACCATTGTTGTTTGTTGGGCGGCTCACCGTGCAACGCGCGAAGGGTCAACAACACTTCACTGTCTTGGTCGTTCCACAAGTTCCTTTCTCAGAATAAAAGAAGGGATTGACTCGGAATGTTGTAAAAAACACTGCAGAAAATACCTCGCTTCGACATAGTAGCTCCCGCTCACGTTCTGGCAAGCCAGGCAGGCGTCAGGCACCACGCTAGTTACTGTGGCAACAAGGTCAACATGACTTAGAAAACAAGAAAATCTAAAAAAAGTAAGCAACAATGGGGTGCGAGCTTCCCCTACGTAGGCGCTTCCAGCTTATTTCATTGGGGCAGCCTTCCGACATAATAGGTGAGTGAAATGCGGTCAAGTGACCTCGCGAAAATGGAGTGAAGGGCCAGAATTTCTTTCTTGTATTTTTAATTTTTCAAGTCAAATAACTTCTGATAGCGCGCCGTTATCACTGCCATTTTTGCTGCATTGGTCTGCCTGTACTTCAGTCTACACAACCCACGAATAAACATGAATAGTGTTGGAGGGCCCCTTTAAGAGAATAAGTGCAGTAGCGTATGCCTCTTTTGTAGTCAGTGACCAGCTATAAACCACAAAGTCATTATGATAATCACATATTCTGACACCTGCTGGCAAAGGGCGCTTGTACCATGCATTATTGCTGCAATATTTATGGCTGCAAACACTGCCCCACACATTGACATAATAGGGAGGTGAGCACTGCTGCTTGGAGAGGAGGTGCGCTGCGATGAACCCTGGCTATGATCTGGTGTGACGTCACTGCTACTTTCATTCTCCTTCTTACAGAGTTACAACAGTTGTGGATGCGCTTGCCATGGGCTTCGGTCGGGAGAATGAGCATTTAGGTACAGTTTAGAGGTGAAGTAAAATATATTCTAAGCGTTTGCTGTGTCCGACCATCCGTGTGGAGTGTCCCAGCATACGAAGGAAACACACAAAAAGCTTGTTTTAGCCTCGGAAGTTCATAACAACCATTTGTAATATCTGCATGGATGGGCAGCCATGGCCATAGGGAAGTGCATGAATTAAACTTTAAAAATGCGTGCAGGTACAAGTGGATCCCTACCTGGAGGACTCCATGTGCTCTTCGTGCCAGAAGCAGCCGGGTCCCATCTTCTGCCGCGACATGGTCTGCTTCCGCTACTACTGCCGTACCTGCTGGAATTGGCACCACAATGTTGATGGAATGCGCAGCCACAAGCCTCTCATGCGCAACAAAGCCAACACACGCTGAGCCACATCCCTCCAAATGTATAACCCCGGCAGCCCATAATTCTTAGGAAGCAGCCTCCTTGCTCGAGCATTTTCCCCTATTCAGCGTGATCCCTGTTGTTTGTTTTAACCTTACGCTATTGTTGTTTGTGCACATACTTCTCCCACTGTTACTTTTCCTTCTTCCGAAAGCTGTTGTTTTAACCCCTTTGCTCTTACATGTTTTCTGTTATCATCCCGCCTTTTCACTCTCCGATTAAGATTACTGGAGAGGCAGGAGGGAAGGTTTTTCCCTCCTGTTTTCTAAGCTGTGTGCACTGGTTGTTATGCGTGGTTGTTAGATCGTTTTTCCTTGCCTTTGTTAGATAACTAAAAAAAGAGTGCTTTACCTTATTGTTTTGTGCAAGAAACAGGGGCAAGTGTCCCATACGTTCATCCTCTCTGCTGCTGCTGTGCCTTTATTTTCGTGTCTGCGGATGCTTTTCCCTTTTGTGTGTCGCCCTTTGCTAGTACAGAGTACTAACATTGAAAAAAAATATATATAATCTTGCCCCAGGGGAGGCTAATACGCACTGGCAGGGTGGATGTTCGTTGTTGCTCTTGTGCCTTTTTTTTTTTTTCCTATTGCTAGTCCTTTTTTATGCTCTTTGGAGGTTGTTTGCCTACACCAGCACCTCTTGTGTACCTTGTCTTTTTTTTTTCTGCTCGAACAAGTGTTTTTATTTACACAGGGGCAATCTTTTTCTCAAAAGCCCTTTAGTCCACAAAGTGCTGCGATAACGTGATTTTTTTTACTAGAGTTTTTCGGGGGAATATTTATTAGTTTTACCTGTACAGATGGCATACATGGGCAAGGATTTAAAATCCAGTGATTGCCTTTTGTAGTTCTTAAGCCCATTTTAATACCACTCCCCCTGGCTCTGCTCTTACGACCTTTCTTACATACGTGCCCTTTTTTTGTACATCCTCCACCGCTAGCACATTCTACTAGTCAAGCCTTTTTGTCTATTTTTAAACATTTGAAGCTGTTCTTTATGTAAAACAAATACAGACATCATTGTCATTGTAGTCTACTGCATTTCTATGCTGTTATGAACAGTTCCTGTGAATGCCTTAAATATTTCCAGGTGCAAAGTTTTAATGGCTCAGCTGTTGTTGGGCAAATAGGGTGCTTGAAGGTTGAGGTACTTTTTTTTTTTTCTTAGAATAGTGAGAAACACCGGTAGCTCTGTACGGATTTGACTACGGAATGGATCACGGACCAAATTTCTCAAATGCAATTGGAGGCTTTAAAGCCATCTCCTACTGCATTGAAGTTTGGGATCTGCAAATTTTTGATGTTTTTGTGCATTGGGAACATCGAGACCAATGTTTCATTTTTTTCTGTAATCCTACGAAAAATAAATTCCTGCATATGCATTTGAATATCGCCTCTGCTTTATTGCTATTCTGCTGTGCAAGAAATTCAAGGTGTGCTGTTGATAGTGGGATTTATACAAAGGAAAGGTATAAACCGCTTGCACTGTTCCGTAGCAGAACACTGAGAGCGGTTCGACCACCACATCCGTCCTGACGATGCGGTAGTTCTGGAAAAAGCAAGGAACTCTTGCCAGCAACACCTTGAATCCTGGCACATTCAGCACACGGAGAGGAACATCAACCACTTCATGGGGATATTGCCCTCCCTGTACTGCTAGGGCTTGCGAAGAGTCACAGCGAGCCTCTTGCGCATGGCAAGCAACCGTATAAAGACATCACAAATGTTCAGCCTTCTAACCTGATGAAGACAGACTGGCTAAGAAACGTCTGGTTTTTCCTGAAGTATATTTGGTTTTAGTTCCCTCATTCCTTCAGTTTTTATCCCAACCAGGCAGACTTCTGCCTAATGTTCACCTTTGAAGTATCTAGCTTCCACCAGCCCATCCAAGATGCTGAAGAATATTGCAACGATGGAAGTGACTCTTTACTTTTTGGAGCAGCTGTAAGAGTTTTCAGAGCAGAAAAAATGGTATTTTACAACAGCTACTAGTGTCTTGCGGGCAGGTATTAAATTTGCCATGCATTACCTGGAGCATTGTCGAAGCATCTCTTGAATATTTTTATTGACATTTATTCACCAGACAAAGTAAACTTTATGATGTAAACAATTGCAGGTTGTCAAAAAATGGGCTGTGAAGTGAGCTACAATTTGAAATACTACTATGAGGGTCTTTGCATGTTGATAATTTAATTCACATCGCTAATCGCATGTTGGCCTACTTACACCGCAACTTTTGTTTTGCACCGGTCTCATTGGAAACACAATTATACAAAACATCAGTTAGGTCAAAACTGGAATACACAGCTTCAATTTGGGACCCCAGCTCTGAAATTCTCATTAAATCATTAGAACTAGTCCAGAACAACGCCGCTCGCTTCATTCGTCACAACTACAGCAGAACAGATAGTGCTACATCCATGAAAATTTCTTTGCAATTACCTCGTCTGGCTACCCGACGCAAATACAGTAGGCTTTACTTGTTCCATAAAATTTATTACCACAACTATTTTCTACGCACAGCTCTCATTTCCCCACCTTCATATGTGGCATCCCGCACTGACCACCCTCGCAAAGTAGGCATTATGACGGGCCTCACTTTGTTTTCAGTCATTCATTCCTCATACATCAAACCAATAGAACCACCTTCCCGGACCAATTGCTGGCATTCAAGATAATGAACGTTTCCGCACTGCATTATTAACAATGTAACAGATGTTAAGTGTATATGTTTAGTTGTTGTTGCTGCTGCTGTACTTTATTTCTTTGTTGTATTGCTCTCCCTACATGAACCCCCACATCTCTCTGTAATGCCCTTGGCCTTGAGGGTAAAATAAATCAAATTAAACCGGACAAGCTAAGTGCCACATTTTAGAAATAACCACAGTCCCATATAGGTATTGCCAAACAAGCAGTAGATAATAAGTACGAGATAAAAGCAATCGGGCTCATTTTCACATTTCACCACACTAGCCTGCACGTCCAGCTGAGAAAAAAAAAACAGCCAAATGGCCTATATGGTCAATATGACAGTTATGTCACACAAATGGGATCAGAGTCGACAATGCTGCACACTAGAAGCACACCGAGATTCTTCCCAAGGACTTGCGAGTTGATCAGAGTAACAGTTCGTCACTCTCATTTCCTGTGTCATTTCAGAGCATCTTTGGAGTAATTGCTAACGAAAATTACTGTTCGCAGCAGCATGGTGCAACATTTCTCTTTTGGAGCAGTTTGGAGCAGCACTTCCATCACAGATATTAGCAACCTGTGAGCACAATAATGAGATGAAATACAAAGTGGCGCCCCGCCGCTGTGGTCTAGTGGCTAAGGTACTCGGCTACTGACCCGCAGGTCGCGGGTTTGAATCCTGGCTGCGGCGGCTGCATTTCCGATGGCGGAAATGTTGTAGGCCCGTGTGCTCAGATTTGGGTGCACGTTAAAGAACCCCAGGTGATCGAAATTTCCGGAGCCCTCCACTACGGCGTCTCTCATAATCATATGGTGGTTTTGGGACGTTAAACCCCACATATCAAATACAAAGTGGCAAAAAATGCCCTCATACAGCATTGGCTATTCTATCAAAGCCAGTGCTTAAGTAATCTACTATTAACAAGTTCAAGTGCTGTGCATGAAGTCGGACTTAACAAGCTGTCAGCCACCCATCTATCGGAATGTGGCACTAAAAGAATAGCTTTGCATTTGTACTGGTGGTTGAGCTATCAATAATACAGTGGGCATTATAGTGGGAACTACTTGGTCAAATTGTAGCATAACTGATTACATGATTATAAGTTTAAGGGTCCTTTCCACATGAGAATGTGCAGCTGGTGCCTTTTACATTGTGCAAGATTTAAGCCACTATGTGCGGTGTAATTTGTGCTACATGATACTATATTGCCAGAACTCCTAGCGTTCTGGCAATGTTGGTATATGGGACTTATAAAGAACATTAAAAGGTAAACCCAAAGTGAGAAAACAAAAACATTGGTGTTTGTTAAAAAATTGGACACTTGGTAAACTCCCAAGTATTTTTGGCGAACACCTATGTCCAATGAGACAGGATCAGTTTGCGCACACGTATCCCTTCTAGCATGAGTACACACTGGGCACAGCAACACTACGAGAGCGCTGTAGTCCCATGCCACCTGCGTTCGGTGGCACACCCAGGCAGCCACTATATTCTATTTCGCCACTTTGGTTCAGCACTACCAAAGCTACAGGGTGTAAGAAGCCACTTGCTTGCGCAGCAAAACGTGGTTCCAGAAGCAAGTGCCTTAATATTGACAGGGTTGCCTAGAATCGCCATTTCTTTGGTTGTTTTACGCCACATCGATACATGATGTGTTTATCCTTTTCACATTTAATTTTTTGTGTCGATTACCGCCGATAACTGTGTTTACAAATCAACATGGCAGCGCCCATGTGGAAGTGACTGCCCGCTTCAATCCATACTTGCTCTTGCTACACGCCCACTGCACAGCCAGCAGTAAACAAATGGCGAAATCAGCCATTGATTTGTTTCACCTCACTCTGTGACTAAAGCATCAGGTATATTCAGTTGATATTATTTATTTTATCCATTTTCAACATGCTGTTAACCCTCTGTAGGATTTTTACAGGAGTGGGAGCAAAAGGAAAGCACAAAGAACAGCCATATCAGAAGTACCAATAAAATTTGGTCGGAGCAGCGTTGCTGAACAAGTACAAATTAATAAGAAGGAAACTACATGCACGAATAAAGCAGTAATGAACGCACTATCAATTTTATACAATCGCAAAAAAGGGTACAGAAAATGTTAACACATTTGTAGCAGTTGATGTAGTAGTAGTAGTAGTAGTAGTAATAGACTTTTATTCAGCCACAATTTACAGGCCGAGCATTTCGACCACCTGTGCGACCAGTCGACGCTGTTCTTCTTCCCCTTCGGCGCCGATCCAGTCGAGCCAGGAGGTGATGGAAAGGGATGGGGGAGGGTAATAGCTGGATTGCTGAGCAGTTGGGCAGTAAAACAGGCAGTGTGACAGGTCGGCGTATGGGGAGGGGCAATTAGGACAGCAGGGGTTAGACCTATATTTATAAAGGAAAAGGCGAGAGGGGGTTATCAGGCGGTTCATTTGGATGTGCCGTAAAGTTCGAGCCTCGAGCGCAGTGAGTGATGGATGAGGGAGCGGGTAAAGACGCTTGTCAAGTCGGAGCTGGAGATATACCTCCTTGATAATGTGACGCAAGGAGATCTGCCCATCGTTATTCACGGAGCTCTCACTGTCTTCCGAAGGTGTGGGCCAGGGAATGAACGGTGCCCGGTGCAATATATCGCGGACAAGCTGATGAGCTAGCTCATTGCCGTTAATACCCGAATGCCCAGGAACCCAGCGGAGGAAGACAGTGGAGGGTTGAAGAGCAGGGGGCAACGTGTTGTTCTGTATGTGACGGATGGCGGCGTGAGAGTCGGAGTAAATCGTGTACTCGGGGTGAGAAGGGAGGGAGGAAAATGACTGCATGGCGTGGACCATGGAAAGGACCTCGAGCGAAAGTACTTTTGGCGGGTGCAAGTATGGCGGCCCACTGGTGTGCGTGTCAGGCGCCGAAAAGTGTGGATGGTAGATAACGTAGCCACACGAGCCCCGAGGAGCCATGTATGAGGCATCCGTGTAGGCGATTCCCTGTGTAGAGAGAGGAGGAGAATGATGCTGTGTTGCCGCATGACGCCGGCCGGCGTGAAGAACGGGAGACATAGTGGATGGGAGGGGAAGGATGCGCAGGTTAGAAGCAGCGGTGCTAGCGGCAGAAGGCAAGGTGGGAACGGAAACGGGAATGTGAGGGATACCGGCTTGGGCTAATAGGCATTGGCCTTGACGAGTGAAAGAAAGACGGGCAATCTGAGAGTCGTGGCGCAGAGAAATAAGAGAACGTAAACAGTTGATGTAAATACAAATATTGGCAAACAAGCCAATACAATGGGGCAATCGTAGAATGAAATACAGAGCATACAATGTTATCAGGCTTACTATTGAAATCTATGTGCATTTTGCAACATTTCTATGAAGTCAACTGTACGCTGTTCGACTATAAGTCGGTCAAGAGCATTCCATTCTTGAATGCATCTAGGGAAAAAAGAATAATAGAACGTATTGTTGTTGCAAAAGTATTCTTGGAGTGTATGATCATGTGTGTGACGTGTTCCTCTTGTCGCCTTGGTTTTCACGTGTCTTCCGTGGTCTATCTCAAAACAATTGTGCAATAACTGATATAAAAACTTTAAGACGAATTTTCGCTCAACTTTCAATGTGGGCAAACTAGCGCGGCGTAATTCAGTTGGGGAGTCGAGGTGGCAATAACAACTAAAAATAAATAATCGCTTTGCGTTGTATGTTTTCAAGCATG